TCTTGAGCTTAGAAGGTATGAATCCTGTACTGACCTGGGTGTTCTGGTAACTTCCACATTATCATGGTCCGACCATATTAGTCAAGTTACAAGAAAACCCAATAAAGTACTTTACCTCATAAGTAAAGTATTTACTAAAACTGATCGGTTAACTTTTTCTAAATTGTTTAAAACATATTTTACGCCGATCTTGGAATTTGCTAATGCAGTGTGGGCCCCCATATTCCAGCGCGACAAAGATCTTCTCGAGTCTGTTCAAAGACGAGCTACGCGTGTTCCTTATGGCTACCATAGACCCCAGTATCACCAAAGATTATCAATTATGCAACTTCCGCTGCTTTCGAATCGGCGAGTTAGAGGTGACGTGATAACTGTATACAATGCTCTGACAGACGATAATTCTCCGATAAAGCATATATTTCCTCTCAATACAGACGGACGGACACGAGGGCATTCATACAAACTTCTTAACACTAGGAGGACGGCGTTTAACGCATACCTCTACGGACGGCTTGCGGTCATTTGACCGCTGTACTATTTTTTCAGTAAAACATGGCCAATTGCGTAAATACTTTATTAAAATTAATTAAATAACTAAATTACAATAACATAAGCATTTGAAAGTGGAAATCATAAATGAAACTTATGATTCAAAGCAATTTGCATACAAGAAATTTGTAACTTTATTACATTTTCCGCATAAATTGTTTTTGCATCTATCACGCGTTCGGTTTTCTTTTTTGCGGCATTTAGTTGCATGGCATTGTTTCCTTTTTCCTCTAAACTTTTTCTTCAGCAGTAGGTCATTTTTATTAGTTTGACCTGACCTGACCCAACATCACTTGCTGCGAGTTCTTTTCACAATTTCAAGAGGAATTTTCGTCTCCTGATTTTCTTCTTTATCACTTCCTGATATAAAACCCATGCATTTAATACAGCCAAGTCTAAAATGTTATAAATAACTTGCCCTTGATCCCGCTTTGGACAAATTTTTTCTAGCCACTTGGTCCACCGTATCGTCGTCATATTTTGTAAAGTTGCAATAAGCTATGGTGTCCAGAAGCTTTTTTCGATTATCTTGAATTATTATATCAGGATGCATTGTGCTCAAAAGCAGAACATTTTTGTTTTTTTCCCTTGATATACAGTCGGCGTGGTAGTATTATACTTCAGAACTTTTGTGTCATATACATTACCACTATCCGTCTTGAGGCGAATTATTCGATTCTGCGAGTAATTACAAATCTGTCATATATTTTCTCACCGAATGTTGCGAAATTTTCAAAGCAAAAATCACCAAGAAAAAGCACACCCTTCACGAAAAGAACAATATCCAAACCAAAGAATGTAATCAAGTGCAATGCCAAAATAAATTAAGTTACCACGAAAATTACCAACCATCTTAGTGGAAATTATGTCCAGATGTTGACAGTATGGGGTTTCAGGTAATTTTAATTTTTTCGAGAATTTTTGAAGCGATTTTAAAGCAGCGGTCAAATGACCGCACTCCGTCTTTCTAGGAAGACATATCCCCACACAGGTGACGAACGGTCCTATTGAATTGAGATTTTTTCCACATACAATCAAGAACAAATAAATAATTGTCACGAAGAATAATAACGAAACACTTTATAAAACCAGAGATATCAAGAATAAAAAATTCAAAAGCGGTCAAATGACCGCCTCCGTCGTTCTAGTGTTAAAGACCGGTTTCGTACCAGTTTTAGACAGTTCTTCATTGTTAACCGTGTGTTTAATGTCTGGAATTCTCTACCTGCAGAAGTTGTACAAAGTACAAGTACAGCCACCTTTAAAATGAAGTACGATAATCATATTGACGAAAACCTTAATCGTAGTTAAACATATTTACTTCATACGCTTTATTTATTGAGTACTCCCATTAGTGAGCGCGGGCATAACAGGTAGTAACCTCTCATTTACAATAATAATAATAATCTTTATATAGCGCCGCTAGTTTCACTTTGATATCCCTACGCAATTTTTTAAAAGTTTCATAGTGTTCTTTAATCCCGTATTTCTTGTACTTTCTCCAAAATTTACTTATTTGATTTATTTCCTTTATGAGATAAAGAGTGAACCAAGGGTGATAGTATAATGATATTTATGTGCTATACTTTTTGGAACATTTGAACTAAACACCTCTGAAAGTTTCATGTAGAATATTTCACAAGCTGAATTCACATCATTAGATTTATTGAGTGATGACCAATCAGTGAAATACCCTCGATTAAAACAGAGTAATATCAGCTGTCCGAAAGTTCAAGTTCTTCCTTGTGTTCACACTACATATATAGGTAACTATTGCGTTTTACAGTACTATTAACGATCAACAGCAGAGGGGGATGTATATCTACAGGAACTAGTCCTTCGTCCGATTTATTTACTTTACATGATATGTTAGTAATAACTAAATAAAGAACCCGGTCATTAACATTTAGAACATTATTATATTGTGAACACTCCAGAATATTCATGAAATGCAGCAATGGAACAGTGTTTCCAAGAAAATTTCCTGAATTTAAATATGAAGTGTATGGGGGGACATTGAAATAATCAGTAGTAATACCATGAGTAGGATGAATATTTGTGATAATTCAAACGATTTGTTAGTTAAACGAATTTTGTGTTGCGATGGAAATATCACGAGTTGCGCAGCAATTTTCCGTTTGTGACTCGTTGTTCAGTTTACTTTTACATGTTTCCTGTTTTCCGAATTAAAAAATAATCAGTTGCTTTCACAACTAACCAATGAGCAAACGTTCTATTATTGATGCTATCTATGGCTTACAGTTTAGAACACAAAGACTTTTTGGTTCAGAGTTATTGTCGGAATGGGGTTAAAGTTGATAGTCAATGTGCTTATACATTGCAGGAGAAATTTCAAGTTGAATGCCCAAATATTGCTAACAACTACATGTAATTTAAATAACCCTTGGACCGAACTATAAAACTCGTCGCAGAATCTGGTAGCCTTTTGCGAAAAGTAGACAGTGGGGCGCCAAAAAAACGAATACCTGAAGTTATTATTGTTTATGCTGAAGAATTATTGAAAGAAACATCGTCAATTACGAGTACATCAGCAAATTAATCTTTTTGTTGGGACTCTCAGAAACTTTTCGCAAAGATTTGGAAGTCTATCCTTATCACAGCAGTTCAAGAACTCCTACCAGTGGACTTCCCAGGAAGATTAGAATTTTGACATGAGAGCTGTCATCGATCATAAATTTGAATTTCAGAGCACACATACTTCAAAAATAAAAAATAAAAATCAATGGCAACTTGATGAATTTTTTAAATGGACACCCGTTATCTAGCTGTTTGAAAATTCCCTGTGGGCTTAAATTTTAGATGCGACGAATTTCTTGCAGAAATAAAGAATATCTTAACGCAGAAAGTTTTTTTTTTTACACGTAAAATTTTATGAAACTGAAAATGGAAATAATAATCTAGCAATTAAAAAAAATGCGCTTATTTTTTTGATGTATTTCGACTATACCACGCCTTACACACCTACTGTTGTGTGCCTCGCCATTAATTTAATTTTTTGTAACCGTCGTGTCCTTGCAAGTTTATTATATTAAATTAAAAAGTAATTTTCATAATAATAAGGGATGCCTTAAACTAATAATTTAAACTTCAAGTTGGTGAATAAAGCACTATAGATACATCAATAATACTGATTAGTGAGGCAGAGACAAACATTCTACCATATTGTTATCCTAATAAGACATGAAACATCCCACAGTTGGAACTTGTGTCAGAAGGCATAATAGTCAGTTGTTGAAAAGTTGGACATCACTTGCAGTTAATACTGTAAATAGAGTCAGTCTTCAGTTGCGTTGCACAAGCAAGCACTAATAAACAGGTTTGAGAAAATACAATTTTTTTGATAAATCTAGACCCAGTTGTGATGAAATCTTAATGACAGGTTTTCCGGATTTCGTTTTTTATCGGTAAATAAAAAAACTTGAAAATTTATCATTTAAATTTAAAGTTATAGAATAAAATACCGCTGATACGATAATAACAGTGAAACCAACAGCATTCCTTCAACCTTATTGTTATTGAAATATATGGCAGTGAACAGTCTTAACTAAAGGCGTTGGAAAATTTTGATACAACTTGCAGTGAGCAAACATTCTATTTAAAAATAAAGTCTGAAGAAACACAAAACTTCAGGTAAGTCTATGCGCTTTTATTAGATATAGTGAGATATTTTCTAAAACTTTTACTGTTTCAGTTTAAATATATGGCGGCTGAACAAGGTGAAATTACAATATGTCGTTCAACAAGGAGAAATCTGAGATACATTTTATTATGGCCAAGTGTTAATGAGGAACTTAAACCAAGCATCTTTTACACGATCAGAGTTGTAATATACGTTTTTATTACTCCAATTTATCCTATGAGTGTGTTGATGCATGTTATAATCACTAAAAAAAGTACAAATAAGGCACACTGTGTGTTTGTTGTATTAAGATATTTTTTTAGAAAATTTAAACGTGTCAGTAGTAGACAACTACGTCCTTTTAGGATCAGCATTTGGTAATTATTATATGACTTTTATATATATAAAAAATCAACCAAAAGTTGTAAGACTTCTCAAGGAAATGTCAAATTTTCGAAATTTTGGGAAACCACGCAATTTCGACCAAAAGGAGGAAACTTTAAATTTTTTTCCCACATGTTTTCTGGTTTATATATCTATTTGTATACTAACGTACGACATTAAAATTCAGAGGAAAAGAAGAATGCGAAGATAAAAACAGAAGAGAAAATTTGGAAGAAAACTGCGGCTTTATCACTACGTTTTGGACTCCAGTCAACACAAAAAATGTTTTTGTTTATTACTTATTCCATGTGTATGTTTTTCTCTGTATACAGTTACTCTTGAAACCTGCGCAATGATAACATACAATGAGTATGAGTTAACTGAACATTTGATATTAAGAATCAAACAACTAAATGAAATGATTCACGAAACTTTTAGCAATACAGAATACGAAATTTCACGACGTAGATTAACTAACTGTATTTTTTACCACTCAGATATAATCAGGTATTATGTTTAATTAATAATATTCTTCAATAAAGTTCTTCTTCTAGGAAAGCAAAAATACTCGATGAATGCTTTTCTAACGCCATGTTTACACACACTTGCCTAACTGCAATAAATTGTGCGTTCATCGAAAAACAATTTACCGAGGTAATATCTAAGGATAAAATAGAATGTTATAGCACTACATTTTTCTTCTAGGGTGATCGTGTCTGTGCTGTATTACATTTTTCGGGATGGATTCTCGTTTTAACGTTTGCTTGCTTCTCTGGACAGATTCTTATCAACGTTGTAAGTTGTTACAAATGACGAAGATTTTTTTTTAGTTAATAATTCTAGAGTGAATCAATAGCCGGATGTATTTGGTTTTCAAAGTGGTATGAGGCGGATATTAGACTGCAAAAAGACGTTTTGTTTATGTTAGCAAGGAGCCAAATAATTTTCTGTCTGACAGCTGGACCATTCAGTTCCCTTTCATTTCCAATGCTTGTTTCGGTAAACTTAGAGAAGGAATTTTTCCAAATAATTATTAAATTTGTTTTAGGCGGTTAAACTATCTTACTCTCTGCTTTGTTTACTAAATTCATGAACTGTAAAATTTGATGATGTGTTTACAAAATTTCATATAAGTGAAAGAAACCGTTTAGGACTCGAATAAAGTTATTTAGCATGTATGTGTTTTTTTTTTAATTAGCGTTACGATATCAATAAAACTGACCAAATATCAAATGTACAATAAATGATTTTCTAATAAAAATGTAGATGAAGAGCAAATAAAATCACACGGCCGAGCAACATCAGTCATTGCAGCAGTTTTCCTTCTCCGTCTTTTAAAGCTTGGAGTATCTTCCTACAAACTTCATATTTTGAGTCCATCCATCACTTGGGGAAAAACGCGGGATCAGGGAAACACTTGCTATTACCTAACAGGTGCGCAATGGGCGTGTTAATTAACCGGCAGCGGCGGGGGCAGAGGTCCCGCCTTTTTAAGCCGAAAGACGGGGTAGTAGAGACGGCACAGGGTTGGGGTGGCACAAGCACACTTCGGGAACAAAAGTCTAACCTTTCGTAGGGTCCAAAGTGCCATTCAAGGTATTTAAAAGGACGATTCTAGTTGGGACGATAGGGTCCAGTCATCTCATTCGAGCGACTCGGACCCTAAAAGGTACCATTGGGTTAGTAGCGGCCCGGAGAAGTATTCAAGGGATCTAAGTGACTGGATCCGGTACCTAGTCGACCCAGACGACGCGTCTACAGTGTCTATATGGAGGAATCATCCCGGACCAGATGCGCCGGATTCGGGTTACAAATCTGCGTTATTTATGCTCGTGATGCCGTATTCCTCCTCAGCAAGACAGCAACGATTTTAGTTCGATAGGCAATTTCATGCAGGCGGCACACACATAGAAATATATTTCAAAAATATCGTTACTACTGGTTGTGATACTATGAAACTATGTGTATCAGCTGTGTATCCTTTAGTATAAAATATAGTTCCTTAATATAATTATATATGGGCTTATATCATTGACGGCACGTCTGTAATTCGCTTATCAGTGTTTGTGCCACGATGAAATTCAGTGTGGGAGATTTAAATTAAAAAAGAATTAAAAACAAAAAGTACAACAACAAACCACAAAATATTTATTTAGAAAATATCAATAAAAAATATAATATCGCAGTTAATAAACGAACAATGTTAAAGTTAATAACAGTTTAAGCAAATAACTACGAAACAATTATTTACAAACGACTCAAAGTTTTTAAGAATTGTATGCCTAATTCCTCGATTTTTTTTCCCGACAGTTTTTCATGTTATGGATATGGGCAAAACTATATAGATGCAATTACTATCTGTAAATAAAAAAAATGTATATAACGGATATGAAAACTCAAGAAAAAAATACGACTTACGATCTAGCTAAGTAAAACAAAATAACAGATTGCTCTTACTTTTTTGGGAAAAACCTTCGCTTTCTTTCAACGTTGGTACTAGGATAGAGAAAGGACTCTGTAGTCGGAGTACTAAATAAAACTCGCATGACGGATTTGCCGATCGACTAGACTTCAGACCCACGACAGCACTGAGAAACTCAAGTTTTTAGTAACGATATTTTTGAAATATATTTCTATGTGTGTGCCGCCTGCATGAAATCACGGTTCGAAGTAAAATCGTTGCTGATAAATCGTTGCTGTTTTCACACCGGTATATTAAATTAGCCGTTTATCAGGTTTTGGAGTTTCCATATCTTGAAGGTCTTTCTCTTGATCACACCAACTTATCAGATATGCTAACCCCACCTTTAGAATATAGTAGATATATAAGGAATACCGTTAAAAATATTGCTGATTGTTGTAATACGGGTGATTTAAAAGTTTACAGTAATAAAGTAATAATCTACTCTTAAACATATTTTATAAAAGTTTTTTGTGATTATAAGTTTAAAAAATAAGTGAACTTCCTGACGGGTAAGTTGAAATTACAGTCGGAATTTACCACGTACGCGTACTTTTTATTGTACATAATAATCATTAACGAATTTATTATAACCTGCATTGCTTCTATCAATATGTATAACACTTTAGGCCTAAAACTTGCATTTCTACCTCTGGTAAATCTCCAAATTTAATCTAATCTAATGGTACTTCTTATAAATAAAGAGCGAATTTTAGACTAAAAAAAAGCCAAAATAGGCGATAAAATTGTGGAGTTAGATCTACAAAGGGCTAAATATGTGCTTTAGGCAAGTTTTAGGAAAAAGTATAGTGTTATATTCGTGAGAAATGGTCAATGACCAATTTTCTCACTCGTGTAACAATGTACCTCCTACTACGCAACGTCTGGTTCTCTTTCAGTTCTATACGGGGTTAGTATGAAGTCTCGGAACGATTGAATAATTTTATTATTTGAAAAGCGTTTTTTTGGAAATTTGGTGTGGATGTATAGCTAAACATGGCGACTTGATTACAATATTTTTCATTTTTTTTATCGCTTTCAGTTTAACACACAAGACCGCCTACTTTTATTTGTTTTAATGGAACCCCTGGAAAATTCAGATTTTGGAACAAAATAGGCAGAAAAAAGTCAAAAATAAATAGCTAATTTGAATTTAATAGTAGATAGTCATAAAAGTTTGGTTTAAAGATAACACTATTCTCTCACTTTACGAATTTTAACAGTTGTAATAGTGAATTTTTGTCCGAAACAACATTATTTCCCCCTCTAGAAAAATAATGCGCTAATATAATAGTTTCCAGCCTTTAGTTGTATTGTCGAAAGCTGATACATACACTAGTATCAGTGTTCTGACAACGAGAGGTGGATTTTTAATTGGTAGTTATAATTTTGATTTTTTTTTCAGCAAACACAATCAACCTCATCATGGACTTGAGTTCCGAAGAAGAAGAAATTAGAAAAATAGAAGAAAATTTAAAACGGAAAAAAGAACAGAGAAAACTAAGAAAGCATTTAGAAAAAATGAATACTTCGCAATCTGAAGAGAATGAATGTTCCTCAAAAAAGGTATTGTAACTTTGGGCTAGCAGTGAACAAATGTTTATAAATATAGATTTATTACAATTTTAAAAAAAATCGGGGGCAAGGGAAGTCTTGTCGAAGTAACTTTTTGAATTTGTATTCAATTAAACAAATACAAGAGTACGCTATTTTATAAAGTTTATAAAAAAACTTTTTTAAAATGCCATGACATTGATAGGGAGATTGGGCAAATTTTGGTTAGCGTTTTGCCATCTATAAGATCTTCTTAGCATAGGTACATATAAAATACAAAGGGTCCAGTAGTTTTGGAAATTATCTGTCTAAGAAAAATTTGAACAGAGCGTACACAGACTCATCCAGGAGACCTAATTTTTCATACTCTATGGGTCATGAAATGTCCAGAATACATAAAAATAGCCGGTCGTCCCCCAATAGACTCGATCACAATACTTTCTTTGCTTGCGCTCAGAAAGTAAAAATAAAATTCGCAAAATAATTACAAACTTTTGCTCTAGAAAAGATTTATCGGAATTTTTGTCTGCAGATAAAGCTTACAAATCCATCATGGAGATTAAAAAGCAAATGAATGTTGTAAGACCGTATCAAGATAAGATAAAATTGATGTGTTTATTCGTACTTTTAATGAAAATTTATCATAAAATAGCGACACTATCTTAAGTGTAATCCTTGTTTATTGGTTCTTATCTGGGTCTTATTTTCCAAGAAAAAGTAATCCGTTTCGAAATTTATTTACATCAAACTACTTAATATTTTATTTTTTCGTACTCTTGGGGTCATATCTAAACTGTACAAAATATGATGAGTCTGTACTTGTGATTTATCATTCCATCCATATTTTTTACATTTGCTTAAACAGGTGGCTCAAAAAAGTTAATAAATGAGTCAAATTGTTTTATTGAGAAAATTATGAATAGTTCACTCCATTTTCCTGAAAATTTGGAGGTACAACACTGTTATTATTAGTATTACATTGCACTAACCCAATTTGATACACAAAATTTTGTAAAGTAAAAACTCGTTTGAAATATAGGCGTAATGTAATTGTGAATTACACCATCAAAAATGAAAATAATATTCGAATGTTTTATATAATAAGCGGAAGTCGAAGCAATAAAAAAGTCTGGACGACCATCGGCGTTGTTTGCAGTTTCTCTGTTTCACTCTCACGTATACAATCTCAACAAGTGTTACCGCGTGTTGTCTTAAGTTAAGAATGCTTATACATAAATGATTTTCAGTTGCCTTTGCTAATACACGCGGCATACGTGAGTAACTGTTTCGTTATTTTATCGATTTGTAAATCAATATTTAAAATGACCCAATTCATTTTCCCGAAAATTTGAGAATACAGTACTTTTATTTTTAGTATTACACTACATCTACCCATGCTTTCATTTTTCAAAACAACTAGTTTTAAGAAGGTGGAAAATTCTTTTTTTGTGTTACACTGTGATTAGTACCTTCTATGTTTTTTTACTTTACAGTGATTACCACGTAAAAAAAACATTCCACAAATATTAGACCGCTGCTGTCTTTATAGACCCAAAGCGCTCTGTCATTAACAATTTAGGATATATTAATTTAGATTGTCTTCGCAAAAATTGTTTAATATGTGTATTTATTAATAAATAAATAAATAAATAATTAAATAAATAAATAAATAATTAAATAAATAAATAAATAAGTAAATAAATAATTAAATAAATAACTAAATAAATAAACAAATAAATAAATATAATTAATCAAATATTTTGTTAGCCGACAGATCGAAAACAAACAGAAGATACTTCAAACAAACGAGCATTTGCATTTCGGAATAACCAGCAAATTAAAGAAAGTACCCAAGAAAATACCCGTCAAAAAGAGCGGATTCGTAAAGAAAAGGATGGAAAAGTAAACAAAGATTTTTCGAAACAGGTGAGTTTGTTTACCAAAATATATATTTACTTTGGTTTTTAAATTTGTGCGACATGTATATTACAGTTTGAACATACCAACTATTTAATGAAGCAAAATGAAATAAACTATGCATTTGGACGTTTTGATGAATCGATAATATGTATTTGAATTTATTCCATTTAATAGTTAATGTTTGAAGCAAATTTTTGCATTGGCAATTCTGAATTATTGGCAAAAAATGCTAGTACCAC